AAGACTTCTTCTGGGCTGTAACTCCATAGCCATGAGCTATGAGGAAATGAGCACACATGACACACCCCTATCCATTTCTCTGTCCCACATTCAGTCAGTGTCAAATGCTGGTCCATTTTGTCACCTAAGGAGCTTTCAAATTCTCCTTCCTCTCTCCATCTTCACTGCCACTACTTTAGTTCAGGTCACAACCATCACTCTTGATTTGCTGTATCAGTTTCCTAACTGACCTCCCTGCCTCCTCCAGCCCACTGTCTCCACTGCTGTCAGAGAGGAATCAGGTCACCCTCCCAGAGTCCCCAATGGTCAAAGCTGGGCAGTTTGAGCAACACAATAAGTAATCCTAGTATTGGATTTTAACCCATAAAGTTAAGTAAATATTCATGAAGTCTATACGGAAATAAACAGAGAAGAAGAGACAACCCTTCCTGATACAATAACTCTAGTTAATAAATATAGAAAGAATAGACAGGACTGCAAAATCACCATGAGACAAACACCACGGTAAGAACTGCAGCAGGTACGATTCATTGAAAGATATTACAGTTTGTGAGCGGGAGTTTGAGGAGAAACTGGATATTTGCATAGTCTTATGTATTTTCCCCAAAAACATTTTTAATAATTACAAAACGAAGAAAATCATAATTTTACAGCCGAGAAACCCAGTAGACAGCACCTGAAAAAGCGATCGAGGTGAACATTATCAGCAATAATATGTGTTGATGTCAGGAAGCCCTGATGCCATGCGCTAAGAAGGGCGCTCCCCCGCTGGTTTCCCTTCCCTAAATCTGTAACCCCAGTCTATTCATGAGAAGTCAGATCGCTAGGCATTGACGGATGTTCTAAAAATACCTGACCAGTACTCTTAAAGGGTGTCAAGGTCACGAAAGATGAGAAAGACTGAGGAACTGTCACAGATTGAAGGATACTAAGGAGGCTTGATAGCTGAATGCAATATGGGGCGCTGGATTGGATCCTGGAACATAGAAAGGGCGTTAATGGGAAAAGTGGTAAAATTCAAATACGGTGGTGGTTTAGCTAGGAGTAACGTACCAACATCAACTGCCTAGTTGTGGTCATTGTGCCATGGTTCTGTAAGATGCTAACATTTGGGGAGGCTGACAAAGGGTATACAGCAATTCTGT